AGACCCCGTCTCTACAAAATATTTAAAAATTAACTGGGCACAGTAGCTCATGCTTGTACTTCCAGCTACTTGGGAGGCTGAGGCAGGAGGATTGCTTGAACCCAGGAGGCAGAAGTTGCAGTGAGCCGAGGTGGCACCACTGCACTCCAGCCTGGGCAACAGATTTGAATAGGCAATATATTCACATGGTTTAAAGCCCAAAAAGTATACAGTAATACTCTATCTGTTTGGTTCCTTTCCCCTATTCTTCAAAGCATGCGATTTTTTTTTTTTTAGGAGTCTTGCTCTGTTGCCCAGGTTGGAGTGCAGTGGCACCATCTCAGCTCACTGCAACCTCTGCCTCCTGAGTTCGAGTGATTCTCCTGCCTCAGCCTTCCAAGTAGCTGGGACTACAGGTGTCTGCTACTATGCCCTCCTAATTTTTTGTATTTTTAGTAGAGGCGGGGTTTCACCATGTTGGCCAGGCTGGTGGTCTCAAACTCCTGACTTTAAGTGTTCTGCCTGCGTCGGCCTCCCAAAGTGCTGGGATTACAGGCGTGAGCCACCATGCCTGGCCAGTATACAATATGTTTTTAAAACTTGGCTTTCAGATTTTGCCTCATGCAATATAACTCAAATGAAGAGAAATGAGATGCAACCAATGTTCTATACTTTTACATTTACAATAACTTGCTTCATAGAGTCACACATTGAAGAAAGTCTTGACATTATTTTTGTTTTGTTTTGACATTATTAAACAAATAATGAGTATGGACTGGTGCAGTGATGGGCATGGGTACAAATGTGTTCAAAAAAGAAAATGAGCTGGGCGCAGTGGTTCAAGCCTGTAATCCCAGCACTTTGGGAGGCCAAGGTGGGTAGAACACCTGAGACCAGGAGTTCGAGACCAGCCTGGCCAACTTGGTGAAACACCATTTCTACTAAAAATACAAAAATTAGCCAGGCACAGTGGCTCACGCCTGTAATCCCAGAACTTTGGGAGGCCGAGGCGGGTGGATCACCTGAGGTTAGGAGTTCAAGACCAGCCTGACCAACATGGTGAAACCCCATCTCTACTAAAAAGACAGAAGTTAGCTGGGGGTGGTGGCAGGTGCCTGTAATCCCAGCTACTTGGGAGGCTGAGGCACGAGAATTGCTTGAACCCAGGAGGCAGAAGTTGCAGTGAGCCGAGGTGGCACCACTGCACTCCAGCCTGGGCAACAGAGCAAGACTCTGTCTCAAGGGGAAAAAAAAAAAAAAAAAGACACACAATATTGCAGCTGGCACAAAGTTGAGGATGTACAAAGAGGAAAGGAATGTTTGCCCCAAGGAAGGAAGGGTGAACTTTTTTGTTGTTTTTTAAAGGCCACCCTCCAACCCAAAAATAGCAATACAAAAGAAAGAAAGAAAATTCAAATACCTAGTCAGACCCAATCAAAGACCAAGTGCACAGAGACAGGCATATGCTATTCATTTGTAAACTCACCTTGCTCAGGGTCTTCCAACAAAACCCCTCTTTTAACCAGCTCTTCTCTTGGTTTTCGCATAGATATTTTCCGTTCTAAAACTAACATTAAATTGGAAAATGGCACTCAGAAATGTGACAGTTGAAAGTCAACCTTACACTTAACATTCTAATTCTACAGGTAAAAGAATAAAGTAGTTTAAGTTTATATTCTCAGGAAAGAAAATAACTAGTAGACTAACTTCAAATTAAAAATCTTAAATTTCTTTTATAACCTGTGCTATCAGGAAAGCATCACTTCCAAAAAACTAGCCTTACATAATTGTAACTTAAGAGAAAATTTCATTAGTAAGTTATTTATGGATGAACTTTGTGTGGATGGGCAGAGTAGGAAAAAAAATAAGCATTTTATTTATGTATGTATTAATTCATTTAATCATTTTCTTCACCAAGTTCTGATGGAAAGAAGCATCTTAGATTTGCTACAGTTCAGGAACTCCATTCACCACTCAATAGATACGTATATCCCATCAAAATACAAACCTGGGGATAAGGGTATACAATATTAGGTTTAGTAAATGACCATTTTGATGTTTAATTCTAAAAGATTAAACTCTGGCCAGCCACAGTGGCTCACGCTTGTAATCCCAGCACTTTGGAAGGCTGAGGTGGGAGCATCGCTTGAGCCCAGGAGTTCAAGACCAGCCTGGGAAACATAAGGAGACCCCGTCTCTACAAAATATTTAAAAATTAACTGGGCACAGTAGCTCATGCTTGTACTTCCAGCTACTTGGAAGGCTGAGGCAGGAGGATTGCATGAGCCCAGGAGGTTGAATATTCAGTGAGCTGTGACTGCGCCACTGTACTCCAGCCTGGGCAACAGAGGGAGATCCTGTCTCACCACAAAAAAAAAAAAAAAAAAAAAAGAAAAGAATAAAAGATTAAACACCCTCTTCAAATAGAGGACTACAGAAACTCAGTAAGATGAGGAAAAATTAAATACTTCTAACATAGAGAACTCTAACTCAGAACACACATTTAACCCTTAATATCTCACCTTCTGAAGTCTCTTTAAATTTATCACTACTTTTTTTTTTCCTCCATTTCCAGGGCTTGAAGATCTTGCCAAAGCCTGAGAACTTGCTCTTCCTTTTGGTAGGAGGTGTTGTGTCTCCTGCTTCCACACTGTCCATGACCATGCCTGGCTCTGTAGCGGGCTGATCTGCTTCCTCTGTTACATGGAGAGAAGAGAGGGAAGGAAGCAAATATATTATTTCAGCATAATCTCTAAAATGCCCCTTCCCCTCTCTTCCTGTGGTAGTTGGAAAGGATCGGAGCAATGATAAACAATCATGCAGACAGAGAGACTCCTGGACATCACATGGACACCAAACATCAAAATCCATTAACAGATAAATTACTAAGGAGGAAAAGGAACCAAACCAAGCTGACATCATTTTTAGGACAAAATCTGGTGCAATGATCAGAGCCAGCTCAAAATCTTTTAAAGGTGCATGTATACAAAATGTGGATGTCTTATCAAATGCATGAGATCTTGCCTTACTGAGGCAGGGAATTCCTGCCTCATTAGTAAGTGAGTCATTTTCTCTATTAAACATTGCCTTTTCCCTGACCTTTTCAGGATATAAATAGTTCAGGGAGAGGTAACACATTAATTGTTAATACCTTACTTATATCTGCTCATCAAATTATTTTCTCCCTTCACAAAAAGGACCCTAGGTACTGGAAGGTGCAGAAGCATTAGAAAGTGGGTGCATTAAATTGGAGCGAAATATTTTCAGAAAGTAGAGGTGAGATTCCAATTTGCCTACCATAGTAGTGCTTTAGAGACTATTATAGGCTAGGCACAGTGGCTCATTTCTGTAATCCCAGCACTTTGGGAGGCTGAAGCAGGTAGATCGCTTAAGCTCAGAAGCTTGAGACCAACTAGGGCAATAAGGTGAAACCCTGTCTATACAACAAATACAAAAACAAAAATTAGCCGGGCATGGTGGTATGCACCTGTAGTCCCAACTACTCAGGGGGCTGAGGTGGGAGGATGACTTGAGCCCGGGAGGTCAATGCTGCAGTGGGCCGTGATTACGCCACTGTACTCCAGCCTGGGCAACAGAGTGAGAGCCTGTCTCAAAAACAAAAACAAAAATAATAATAATATTAAGGATTTGACACAAAACATAACTGACATGATACATGTGCAGAATTGAAATAAAAGGCCATGAACCCCTCATAATGACCACACATGCAGGGTTTAGTTAGTTTTAATGGCAGAGAAAGGAGAGCCAAGGCAGGGCCAAGAATTTATAAAGAAAAAAAAAAAAAAAAACCCAGCAGGAAAGCAACAAAAAAAAGCAGGAAGGTACACAATGCAGCTTTGCACTCCACCTACTGTTCCAAGGTTCTCTGGAGAAGTCTAGAGAGGAAGAAAAAAAGAGTCATGTGGAAAAACCATCCTGAAATTAAAGTGGAACCTCTATTTTGTAGAAATACATCAAGGAACAGCATATGACAAGCTAACATGTTGACTGCAAACAATTTCACATCTGAAGCAAATCACACTTTTGGAGGAGGGTAAAAAGATCATAATAATCACTAAAAAATCTTTTTTAAAAAATTTATTATTATTATTTTAGAAACAGGGTCTCACTCTGTTGCCCAGGCAGAAGCACAGTGGTGTAATCATAGCTCACTGCAGCCTAAAATTCCTGATCTCAAATGATCCTCCTGCCTCAGCCTCCTGAGTAGCCAGGACTATAGGCAAGTACCATCATGCCTGGCTAATTAGAAAGTTTTTTTTGTAGAGAAAGGGTCTCAAATGCCTGGTCTCAAGAAATCCTCCCTGCTTGGCCTCCCAAAGCACTGGGATTAAAGGTGTGTATACACACCTGGCCCTCTTTTAAAACTAGATATTTTCTTTTTTTTTTTTTTTTTTTTGAGACGGAGTCTCGCTCTGTCGCCCAGGCTGGAGTGCAGTGGCCCAATCTCGGCTCACTGCAAGCTCCGCCTCCTGGGCTTACGCCATTCTCCTGCCTCATCCTCGAGTAGCTGGATTACAGCGCGCCGCCAACTCACCCCGCTAGTTTTTTGTATTTTTTAGTAGAGACGGGGTTTCACCGTGTTAGCCAGGATGGTCTCGATCTCCTGACTCGTGATCCACGTCCTCGGCCTCCCAAAGTGCTGGGATTACAGGCTTGAGCCACCGCCCGGCCAAAACTAGATATTTTCAAAAAGAAATACACAACCAAAGGATTACATTTTTAAAAGAAACAACTGGCAATTCAATCTTTTTTTTAGTTGATTGATGGAGGTCTAGGGAAGTTTTTCAGTAAAGGTTAGATTTATACAATCGTAATTACCACAGTAAATGCAATGATGACTACTGATGCATTAGTTTCTATACCAGAAACTTAGGCAAATAGTGTCCTCATTACTAAAGGGCAAAGATGGAAATGATAACGAGGACAGTCTGACTCTTCCTAGTTGCATGTCTTATTCAAGGACATTCTGGATCTCAATTGCTTTAACACTTTACATGAAATACAATAGAATCTGATTCTCTCTCTCTCTCTCTCTCTAATTATTTTAGAGACAGGGGTTCGTTCTGTTGCCAGCATGGAGTGCAGTGACACAATACAAGCTCACTGTAGCTTCAACTCTAGGACTCAGTAATGCTCTGCCTCAGCCTCCTGAGTAGCTGAGTTACAGCAATACTTGAAATTATGAGAATGTCTCTGATGTACAGACACTGGCTACGACATCTGGCTTCTCCTCTTTTTTTAGGTAAAGACAGACAGCCTGGGGACATGAAGAAACCCTTATCTCTTAAAAAAAAAAAAAAAAAAAACAGGCCCGGGTGTGGTGGCTCAAGCCTGTAATCCAGCACTCTGGGAGGCCAAGGACGGGCGGATCACGCGGTCAGGAGATCGAGACCATCCTGGCTAACACGGTGAAGCCCCATCTCTACTAAAACTACAAAAAACTAGCCGGGCGAGGGTGCGGGCGCCTTGTAGTCCCAGCTACTCGGGAGCTGAGGCAGGAGAATGGCGTAAACCTGGGGGGGGCGGGCTTGCAGTGAGCTGAGATCCGCCATGGCACTCCAGCCTGGCGACAGAGCGAGACTCGTCTCAAAAAAAAAAAAAAAAAAATTAGTTGGGTATGTGGGTATGTGCCTGGGTGCCAGGCCATTGTGGGGCGTGAGGTGGGAAGATCGCTTGAGTTCAGGGGTCCAGGCTGCATTGAGCTGTGAATCGTGCCCTGCACCTCCAGCCTGGGCAACAGAGCCATACTGATACAGTTTAGATATATGTCCATGCTCAAATCTCAGGTTTAATTGTAAATCTTCAGTACTGGAGTGGGGCCTGGTTGGAGGTGACTGGATCTTGGGGTGGATTTCTCATGAATGGTTTAGCAAATCCATTTGGTGCTGCCTTAGCAATAGTGATTGAGTTCTCATTAGATCCGGTCGTTTAAAGTAAGTGGGGTCACCCTTTCGCTCTCTTGGTCCTGCTCTGGTCACGTGACATGCTTATTCCTGGTTGGTCCTCTGTCATGATTGTGAGTTTCCTGAGACCTCCCCAAAGCAGGGCAGATTGCATGCATTATGTTTCCTGTACAGCCTACAGACCACGAGCCAAATAAAGCTCTTTTCTTTATAAGTTACCCCTTGTCAGGGATTTTCTTTATAGCAATGCAGAATGGCTTCATACAGGGAACTTGTCTCAAAAAAAAAGTAGTTGATACATAAGCAAATATGTATTAAAAAAAGAAAAAAGCCACTGATACAAAAACAAAGAGAGCAACATTTCTTTGCTTGTTATGCAAATTGCTGCTTGATTTTCATGTTTACAAAACTTTTAGAGGACTGATGTCCTTCTTTTCCTTCTACCTCCTGTGTTGGGTCGAGCCACACCTGGCTTCGACTCCAGTTATCTCAAATTCACACAATACCATATTCATATATCTCATACTTCTCCCTCTTTCCTTCCCTCTTCTTCCTGCCTCTCCCAGACAAACAGTACATTATTCCAAGACTCTTGAAATTCTGTTCAAATACTTGGAAAAGCCCAATTTGCCTTTCAAATAACAAGAATCTCCAGGAAAGGTAGAGGAGCTTGAGGAATCTGTTTGAAAATATACCTGCCAGGCCAGCTAGGGTCGCTAAGGTCGCCGGTGTGTTAAACCATACGCAGGATTATTATCTGGGAAACCTCAATGGAGGGCTTAAAAAGAGACAGAGGCAGGCATTCTTTGGCTATAGGGCTGCTTCTTTTTTTTTTTTTTTTTTTTTGAGACGGAGTTCCGCTCTGTTCCCCTGGCTGGAGTGCAATGGCACGATCTCGGCTCACTGCAAAGCTCAGCCTCCGGCGATCAACGCAATTTCC